TTAAGTGTTTTTTGGGTTTTGAAGACTTTTCTTAACCTCATATGTTGATTTTACAGTTTTATTATCAGTGTGTTTATGTTTATATATATTTAAATTCATCGTTATATAAATGATTTAAGAATAGATGCTCTCCACCCCTGGACTGGTATACATTTTTAGCCTCTGGTTCTCTCATCCAGGTATGAAGCCAGAGCAGTAGAAGTGACTGTCTACCTCTGAAAACATGCCTCCGATGATTTTGTCAAATTTACCTTTCCTTCCTGGTAGGAATGTTACTCATTATGAACAGATAAAATTTAAGATTATTCTAGTTTATAGTTTTTCTCAGGTTACACATAATTTAAAGAATATTCAACAAGTTATATAAACTATATAAGCTAAAAGATATAAATAGTGGCAAGGCATCCAAAGCCAAGCCTAACAAAAATAAGTCAGGATGTATTTGGAAGTTTTAGAAAATTTCCCTGTGGGATGGATTTTTTTTTAAAAAAAATTGCAAACAGTGACTCCCATTTATCGACCACCTGCCATGTGAAGCAAATGCATATTTTTTTCCTAAAGTATAGGTATTATCCCATTTTGTAGAGGAAGAAACTGAAGTTCTAAGGTTCTATAAATTAGTCACTGAGAGTATCACAAAGTTAAAATGGTCTTCTTGACCATTATCAGTTAGCTGAAATATTTGGCAAAAGCTTCTTGTTGTCAATTGATTTTTCTGTTTACTAAAACGTTAAGCAAGTTATGTGCAAACTCTTCACATCAGAACCTATTGAAACTTTTTAATTTATTGATTTCTATTCGGGCTAAGTTAGAAAAACAGACTTAATCTTTAAAACTTTTTTTTCTTCCATGTTAATGAAATCCACGTACAATGTTTGACATTAGTTCAGAAAAAGGATAAACTATAGAGAATGAGAAGAAGTTTACAGTTCATTTTTATATTTTATTTTGGTCCTTTTTCTGTAAGGATTCAGAATTTACATGATTTATCCTTTCCTACATTGTTAAAACATTATAAAAATATTTCCAGTGTAGTTTGGTGGTTTTCTAATGAGAAATCCAAAGCACAACTCCCTCTCCACTCAGATATTTTTTTACTCAGATATTTTTAATAATCATACATGTCTAAGTGTACACTTCTACTGAGGAAAAACAAAACATTTTTATTTTACACAAGCCCACAATGTCTCCATTTATGAATTTATCTCAGGTCATTTAAAAAAATGTCTAACAGGTATGAACAATTTCCTATCTAATACATAGTTAAGATTTTATCCATGAGATTTAACATTTGATGAGAATAAATGATTATAAGAACAACATTTTTTGGCCTATCCATGACACTATGTCACTTTCAAGTGCATATTTGATGATGTGCTTTGGCTTTAGACTTTTACACGTGCATATTACTTTCTAGTAATTTTCCATATGAATTTTACAGTGATTAGGAAGGGACGGCCTGTGGTTGAAGTTTCCCCCATGTGTTACACTCATAGAGCTTCTGTCCTGTATGAATTCTCTTATGTGCACTAGGTGAGGACCTCTGCCTAAAAGTTTTCCTGCATGTATTACATTTAAAGAGTTTCTTTCCTGTATGAATCCTTCGGTGTTGAACAAGAGCTTAACTTCAGCTAAAGGCTTTTGAACATTCCTTACCTTTAAATAGTTTCTCTCCACTACGGTTTTTCTCATGCTTGCGAAGGGATGAAGTGTTAATGAAGGTTTTGTCACACTTAGTACATTGAGAGCATTTCTCTGCTGTGATTTTGGTTGAGTAAGGTAAATCTGAATTCTGTTTGGAAATGTTTCCTTGCTTTTCACATTCTGTTGGTGTATTCTCTGTGAGAACAACTGACTTTGAGCTGAAGTTTTGGCTGGATTCAGTATTTTTATGGCTTCTTTCTACAGTTATGATTTTTTAAGGGGGTGACAAACTGTCTGAAAATTTTCCTTTTTATCTGGTTTCTTCTTGGATTTGTCTTCATATATATAAAGTTCTTCTGATTTCAAGTCCCACGGTCCACCCCTTTTAAGGTTTTTCATTATCAGCCCCTGAAATGGAGAGTCTTGTGCTTGAGTTGACTTTGCGGTTTTATGACTGCTCTTCCATCCCAGAGGGGCCTCCAGGGTTTTCTTTCTCAGCCTTCCAGGGATCCTCTCCTTGCTGCAACAGGGAGACCACCCTCGGTTTGGTAGAGGGGAATCCCAGGGAAGCCAGGTTCCTGTAGTCCTCCAGCATCGCGTCCCGGTACAAGCTTCTCTGCAGAGCATCCATCTTCCTCCACTCCTTGCGAGTACAGAGCACAGCCACGTCCTCGAAGGTCACTGCCGCCATCTTGTGCATAGCTTCTCCATCACTGATAACCTATTAAACCTTCCTGTAGCTTCCTGTGGAGTCTTCCCTCTGCCCTCAGAGTAAAAGTCTTCTCCAGTCCAGCTGTGTCTCCTTAACATGGCTTATCCTTTGTTCACACAGCATCTCACCTAAATGGGTGCCTTTCTTGTCCCCCAACATAAAGGAGAAAATGGCCGGTCAAGACCAGCTTTCATGAGTGCTCCAGGCAAAGCAAATGATCCTGAGCCCTTGCTTCCTTCCTCTCACTACCCATGTCCTCTTCCTGGGCTCTTCTCCCTGGATGGTTGTGGTCTCCAGAAGGTAGATCTCCGGGTCAGTCCGGGAGAAGGCTTGTCTGGCTGTGCTCTGCAGGGCGAGGCGCAGACCTTCCTGCCTGCAGCAGCCCAGCCTGAGGACCCCGCCTGCAGGCGACCTCAGCCTTAGTTTTTAATGAGTAATTATGCACTGTTTTGGATGCTGTTTATTTGATAAGAATTCTGGGGTGGCTGTTGAGACCTAAATTTTAATCCTTATTCTGCTGTAATCTTTTGTATAATTTTAAACATATTTCTTGAATTGCTTGATTGTCAGGTACATTAGAAAATAAATATACCTAGTTTGTTAAGCCGGTTTCTCCCTAGGAACTGAAAGCTCTCTTCCTCAACTCAAGGACCCTGGAGCAAACAAAAGAACAGGAAGCAGTCCAATGCCAGTGAGCAGGCTGGACCAGAAAGTCCTTTTCTACCCCTGTGCTCAAGATTCTTTCCCCTGCTCTGAAACCCTGGGGCAGGTAGAGAGCACTGGTGGGGAAATCGTCTCCTTCTTCCCCTACCAAGAAATACCTTGCACCCTGACCTTGGGAAACAGGAGTCAGGGAGCCCCAACATCTCCAGAGAAACCATGCTGACAAAAATAACACCTCAAAGGTGTAAATATTAAATGGCTACTGGAGCTGCAGGTTATAGGAGTAAGGATAAGAACCAAAGATGTGACTACCTTCTAAAAGTAAGATTTAAATAGACATCAGTCTCCTAACATAATAGACAAAATATTCGTGACACAATAAAAAAATCACCTGTTTTATCAAGCAATCAAATCACAAATTAAGGGAGGAAACAAACAAAGCAGACATTGGAATTATCTGACAAAGATTTTTAAGCAGCTACAACAAAAATGTTTTGTTTTGTTTTTAAATAAATTACAAATCCCGTAAGTGTTCCCATTTTGCGTCGTTGGGGCTCTGCGTCGGCCCAGCTCCAGACTGATGAACCACAGTGGGGCAGTCAGAGAGGCACCCTGAGCTCCACAGAGGGGGCACAAAACAGGCACCGGAGTCTCGGCGGCGGCGGTGAAGGCGAAGCGGAGACCGCAGCGAGGGAGCGGG